CTCTACAATAAGCTCTCAGTGGGTGTATCCGATCTGATCGATCACCCTGCTATGTGTATGTGTGTCTGTTATTCAAAGTAGGTATAGTAGCAAAACAGTAATGTAATATTCAATTTATTGTCTTATATCAAGCAAAAAAGACAAATATTCTCTGATTCCTGCATGTCTAATATGAGGATTTGTTGCTCTTCTCTGTTTCATATTGAGTAGTTTGGGTTTTCAGACTATGGGTTGAACTTTCACTGTATTCAGACAGTAAAATATTCAACAGATGAATCAACAGTAAACTGGGATGTACAAAGGAAGGTTAAAACTGCGTGTAAATGAACCATACTGTACTGCAAATATAGTTGATGGTGGGTGCTGGAATTATGAAAGATTAAAATGAACTCTTTAAACCAAAGACTGACTGTAACACAATAAACACACCGATGCAGATGTGTGATTGTGAGGATTATTTTCAGTGTTAATTCACTGCTCAGCGTGCAAATATCAGCAAAAAGTGAAAACTGCGAATCGTAATGTGCTATTTTTGTGTTGGATCTCGTAGATACTCAGTTTACTGTAACAGCAAAGTAAGAAACTGGATCATATTCCCATTTGAAAAACTGAAGCCAGAGAATTTTTGCTCGATCAACAAAATCTTTTGAACGACAAATCAATGAATCACTTCATTTCTGCAGCTCTAATCCCAACAATACAATAATTATAGTGGATATTTTTGGACCGCTAATTTAATTTAGAACTTGTAGAATTTACATAGAACTACTTCCAAATCAAAGCAATAAATAGACAGATTTAGAGGACAAAAGCATCCAGTCCTGCTTCCTTTGCATCCACATTTTTTTAGAGGTAAGTCTGTCAAGGCTGCTGGTTAAGTTTGAGAATTGAAGGACTGAGACTGTAGTCAGTGAGGAATTCCATAATCTCCTATAAAAGGCTCTCTAAAGGACAGAGTGGAAGAGCTGGTCACCATAAGGACAGCATCAGACGATATGGAAGCAAGTATCTTCATTACTGTTAGACTACAGGGCAACACTGGGACACTGTCTTCCTCTTTAGCCGTCACAGAAGCAGGAGAGAGATTGATAGCATGGAGTCATTTGAGCTATTGGTTATTCTGAATGAAGTATGGGCTTATTGGATGCAGGCCTCTCCCACTGCCTAACATTGATTTCCACTCACTCTTGCAGCTCTCTGTGCCCTTGTGCAAATGTCTACCTCTTATTTTTGCACTCTGACTTCCTCGCTGTCCCTTATTTATCCAGTGTCTCCGACATTCTTCTTCTATTCCAGCCCAAATCTATAAAGAAATTATCACAGGCACAAGATCGCTCGGAGACGACGAGCCCGAGACATGGCAAGGTAATAGCAGACAGACAGGAAGAGACGAAGAGGTGGAGGACGACGGAGCATGGTGCAGAGGGATGGAGTGAAAGACAAAGAGGAAGTGAAAGAGAGACAGCAGAGCGGAGGGAGAGACAGATGGGGGCGCAGAGACGAACTGAAAGAGAGACAGAGCAGGAAACAGAGGGAGAGAGGGAGGTGTAATTATCTATCAGGTGTTCGGGTGTGCGTGACAGAGGAGGAAGCTCATTAGCACACTCTGTGTACACCAATTACACAGCCAGGCTTCTCAGGGCATTCCCCTGGCATGTCTGCGTGAGGCTGCCGGGGACACGCAGACACTTTCACTCCCTGACACCCGCATACACACTGTTTAACCAAAGTCCACGTAGAACGCAATTATAATGGGCACATGTACCCGGGAACATCTACCCTCTCAGTTTGGGAGAGAACAAACAAACCTCTCTTTGAATCTGTGCAGATACTTAGTCATCCAGGCCATGGTGACCCTCGGAGCGTCAGTAATAAACAACTGGACTTCTCTTTTAGGTGTTTGAGGACGTTTGACCTCAGTCGTAGCTGAAGATTTGTTAGAACTTAAGTTTATTAGATCTGAAGAAGCCTCTTGGATGAAGGTGAAACGTCTTCAAAAACCTAAAAGAGAAGTCCAGTTTACTGAAGCTCCTCAGACTTTCTTTGGATTCTGCATGTCATGTAGTGGCTTCCTCTTGCTGTTGCCATCACATTTTATTATGATCACATGTGAGGTTGAATATGTTCATATGTGGTGTTTTTATGCATGCAGTTAAATTATAAACTACTCAGCAACGCATTTTTGCAGTCAAAATGTAAAGCAGAAGTTTCCATCAACTTTGGGAACATACTATTAAATATTATGCTTTTATACGTATTTATTTTCACTGGATTATGTCTTTTTTTAACCTATTTTTATCAATTACCTAATTTTTATTTTGCATGTTAATATATGCTGATACATATTACTGGATTGTGTGATTTAACTTGTACTCTTATATCCCTTGAGAATGACACCTCACAGAGTCTTAACAGATCAAACAAAGGCATTATATATTGAAAGGATAAATACCTGCAACATTATATAATCCCAAACTGTTGAAAGACAATGTATTGACAACCTTTACGGAGTCTTTCCTTGCTCATCATGAACCTACACTAACTACGCATTACAGCCAGTAAGTTTAGTCACAAACTTCTGTTTTGCCACAATTAAGAATTAAGAAAAATAGTTGAAAATTTTTAATACTATACATAGAAATTTTTTGCTCCTGGTGGTTTTCCCTTTGGGCTGGGATAATAATAATTACAATAATAACAATAACAACAATAATAATATAGCGCTTTTCAAGACACTCCAAGATGCTTTACAAAGTAGGTAAGAAAACAACAAGACAAACAGACAAACAAAAGTAGGAAAACTACAGAAAACTGTAAAAACACTGTACTAAAGTCATGAAACATCAGCAAAAAAAAACTTTTAATTTTTTACATACCTAACTCATTTAGATGTATTAAGGTTAAAGTTATGGATAATTAAGGGCCAGAGCCACCACACAGCTTTACCTCTACAGGAAATACTGACGGGAAGTTTGGCACTTTTCAAAGAGCCGACTCTTTCGGCTCGCAAGCGGCTCTTAATTTATTATCATCCGTAGCCTCATATTTAAGCCTAACTTGACAAATATAAATGCGTTGTGTGTTGATAAACCCTTTTGAATTTAGTGTTCTTATGAGAAGCCTTATAATGGCCTAATTTTATGGATTTTTAATGGCATTATTACTTTTGTTTAATATTTTAATCAAACTTTTAATCTTAATTTAACATGAAAACAAATGAACAAACCCACAGAACAGAACCAGAACAAAAATCAGTTCAAACACCCAACAGTGTGTCCTTAGTGCAGGTTTGCAATCAAAAGAATTAAATGTCTCAGCTTGGCTGGGATGATGAGGTTTCTCCTCTCGGTTATTATCTGCCCTGTTCTTGAGAAGACTCTCTCAGAGGGAACAGATGTTGCCATAATACACAGTCTCCCCTCCATCACCTTCACCAGGTGGGGGAGGACTGAGGGCTTGGCCTGCCACCAGCTCAGTGGGTCTTCTGCTCTTTGGATGAGGGGCTCCTCAAGATAGCATCTCATCTCCATGATCACATCAGCTGTGGTACTAAATCCTCACATGTGATTGACCACAAGGCCGCCATGCTGCCAATCAAAACAAAGTTCTGCCGTGAGCTGAGCTGAGCCACTGAGTAGCAGAAAACAAAAAAAAAAGTCGGGCGCCGGCTCTCACTTGATGGGAGCTGGCTCTTCTGATTCACTGTAAAGCATCGGCTCTAAGAGCTGAGATGCTTGCGGATGACACATCACTATCAGAAAATCTATGCGTGACGTTTCAAATATGTTTTCGTGATCAGTTAAGATAAACAGTCATTTTCACCAGAATCATGTAAATTTGGTGATTGAAGAATTGTAACCAAGAGAGGTATGAACTCAACACTCAGTCAGTGTCCTCTGGTGTGACAGCGACACGGTTTCTCAATTACATTAACTGAACCCAACATAGCATTTTCATCATTTCTCAGCCAACATGTATAATGACACCAATATATCTTGAATGGCACCAATTTAATGGTCTAGCTTGGAACTGCAGATGACTCCACCATCACCACAAATGAACCGACTATGTACTCTTATTATAATACCGCCTTTGAAATGTGCATAAATTTAAGCCCCAAACAGCTCTGTCCTCCTCTCCTGAATCATCTGCAGCTTGTGCACACCAGCTCACCTCAGGCCCTGCTCAAACTAATGCTCTACGCTACACAATAGCAAGTTGTAAAGTCGGAGTAAGAAGAATAATGACACAGAAAGTTGACAAGATTGTTTCTCGAGGTTTGTAACATGTGAAACACCTGAAGTCTGAATCTGTGTGTTTGAGACTGTCATCGATATGCTGCAGTTTGAAGTTGGAAATCCTCAGCCATGGTGGTGACTGATTGTTTTGCCTCAGATGTGTCTTTCACCACATTAAAAACACCGTGCTGACATGCTAAATAGGTAAAATAAATAAATAAAGACACATGTATATTCACCAGAGAGGGTCTTTAAATCATATTAATAAAGCTGTATGACTACTGACATGGTATGTAAACTAGACACACAGCCCCTCTGAATACTGATGTGCAATAACTAAACCCTTGACCTGAGAGGAAATTAAGTTATAAATAAATTTAAGGCAACTTAAATGGTTTTAGTCTAAATTTTAAGTGACTGATTGACTTTTCAGTTCATCGTCAGACACTGGTGTTTAGAGTGAAATGCTCTGTCCAGGTGCTTTATCAATAAAAGTAAAATAAATGAGTAAATGATCCCCACTACAATGACTACTGCTAGTTGCGGTGCAGTGGTCTCTAAATGTGAAGAAAAATAAATTGCAAAAATAATCTGAATAAATTCTCTGCATGAACATTTTTTTCTTATATTAAAAAATAAAATAAAATCTCAAACCATATATAAGCTATTTTGTGAATAAATCTGTGTGAAGGTTTGATGTGGGGGGAAAGAAGAAGAAGCGGCTAATAATTGTGATGTTAATGATGTTTGTGTGCATTTTACCTGCTGAAGTCGTTCTGGCTGGATGAAACCACTCCTACGTTGGCCACAGACAGAACCTGCTTGCTGATGGCCGGGCTGGACGCGTTAGCTGTTGCCATGGTGATGGTTGCAGAGGTCTCATTCATACCCTGGAGCTTTCCTGAGAAGATGCAAAACAACAAAAACAGAAGCTAAATTCTGTTCAGACTATTTTGCCATTGTAATTCCAATGTATTCGCCCTGTGTAAACTTGAACAGTTACAATATTTAGCACACAACGGGCAGTACTACAATTCCATAGTCAACTTTTACACATTTAAAAATCATTAACTTGCTTTACAGAAAGTATTCCAGACACAGGTTTCAGGACGGAATCTAAATCAAAAACGCAAAGAGAGACCCCCAATTGCAGGCAAGGGGTCAGTTTATGTGCACTTAAAAAAATAAAAAAAGAAAGGAGTTAATGTGCACAGGTTAGGTAAGAAATAAAATAGGTCTTAAAGACAAATATAATAAAAACCTGTTACCTGAAAGAATTAATTTGCTTCACTCAATTGGCATATATAAAAAAGGAATTTGCAAAAGAGAAAATGGTTCTGCCAAGGAAGTTGCTCTTTTTTTCCGCCTGAGTGAAGGATGTATTCAGCAGAGCTCAAAAAACGTGAAGTGAATGAAGATTAATTAATGCAGAAGCAGCATTTAGGAGGCACTTAGGAGCACACTGATGGCTTAGATATGAGGATGCTCTCAGCTCTCAATAGCTGCCACAGCATGGAACTCTACAGGTGTTTGTGTGTGTGTGTGTGTGTGTGTGTGTGTGTGTGTGCGTGTGTGTGTGTTTCAGCAGGAAATACCATTAAGTGTTTCATAAGAGGCAAGCATTTTGCCCTAATGACAAAGGTGAGGAAATGCTTATTAGAGGCAGACTAATATGAAGATTTAAACATCTACTTTTGTCACTAAAACATGCAATGACAATGTTACAATGTATTTTAGATTGTTTAATCACCTTTATAGAAAAAGTGTGGTCTTTTTAGATTTTTCTTATTCTTAACAAATCCTACGGACAGCCTGATATGTCTTTCTCTGTGCAGTAAAGCTCCATCCTGGCCCAAACATTACTAAAACCAGTGAACACAACTGTTGCACTGGCTCAAAACACACAGTTTGCTTTTAGTCAATCCCAAACACAACATTCCGCTGCTCTAAATACTTGCTAGTGTACCGAATAATTCATCCACAGCTGAAACTATCCCCCCAACAAGTGTAATATGTACTCCTCTATGAGTACATACTGCTAACAACTACACTGCTCAGATGATTTTAGAGAGTATTTAACCTTGTTTAATGAAACTATGTATTTGTCAGGTACTTTTATATATTTCAGGAGGAAACAAATGGGCTTGCGGCTGAAGCATGACAACATGTTCATCGTTTTGGTCTCACCTTGGGATTTTCTGAAAATATTAGATGTGATATTTAGCACTTTTCTGGCCAAACAGAAGTCTGTCGTCTATTTACATATCAAGAACAGACACTCCAGCAACTGTACAGTTACTGCCTTGATGTTTCAGTCATTTTCTAGCTAGCAAATGGCCATGTGAAGTAATTCATGTAGAAATGATTGTGTATCAGACAAGTTTGTATGAAGCCACAAATGACATTCAATATGCTGTAAGATCGCTTTCTCCTGACTAGATCCTTGCTTGTGTTGTGTATCCGCTCTTCAATGTACGTCTCTTGGATAAAAGTGTTGCTAAATGAAATTGTAAAATTGCATTTTGCAAACACTAATGCAACCTTAACTCACCTTGCTCCTTGCAGAAGTCCTGCTCCGTCATGCTACTCGGCATTAACAGCTCTCCTACAGCAGGCTGGATGGACACACTAAACTGGTCCTCCTTGGTGCTAAAGGGAGGGAAAACAAAAGAAGAAGAATAATAAGCGATGTATTTGCAATGTAAGGAAGGATTCTTGCACAGTGACCTCACTTCCTTCTGCTCTGTGATTTAAATTCATCTTCATCTGAACGAATGACAGGCGTTTTGTGCACTTGTGTGTACGTATGCTTTGTTTGTGTATGAAATGTTTCTCTTGTGATTGCTTTGCAAACCACGCTCTGTGAATGGCATTTTGGGCCGGATTGATTCCCCCATCTCAAACAGATTTTCTGATAAGGTTATTGATCGGCTGAGCAGCGGTGCCAATGGCATTCAGCAGGCTGATTTGGGCTAGGGCTGATTACTGGAGGAATAATTGTTATCCCAGTGAACCGGGATCAATTGTAGCTGATGTCTCACCTGGGAGTGCTGGCACAGAGCTGGTAGGAAGAGGAGAATTAACAAAGAACAGACGAGAGAGAGAGGAAAAGGCAACGAAAATAAGCAAATGAAGAGACGGAGGCAGGTGTGGGAGATGTGATGATGAACGGTAGCAGAAAAAGATGTAGAACTGAAGAGGTACAAAATACACGACTTGATATGAGGGATGTCAGGTTGTCTCACCACAACTGGAAGTTGGCTGCTTGTGTCGAGTCGCTGAAGTCAATACCCATGGATACCGTCACCGAGGTCTCTTGCTCCAACCGCTCTGAGAATGGAAGAGAGGGGAGGGAAAGACGGAGAGGGGGAGAAAAGGAAGAGTGAGTGACAAGGGCACAGTGTGCAGTGTGGGGAAGGATGGAGCAAAGGGAGGTGGTGGTGGAGGGGGAGGAGGGGGGCAGCAGCAGAGTGGAACAGACAGGCATCCACACCACTTGTGTTTTCTACTTCACAAAGCAAGGCCACCGTGTGTGAGAAATCTATCCTTCAATCTCATTCCCCACACCTCTAGCCTCGGTGCAAAAAAAAAAAAAAAAAAAACACATGAAGGACTAGCATATTTCCAAAACAACAGGCTTGTCAAAGAGAGCATCAGCATCAAGAGAGATGGGGTGAGGGAGACAGACAGAGCGGGCAAAGCTGGAAGAGAGTTAAGCAAAGCCAAAACTGCTGAAGAGGGAGTCTGGACAGCTGGATGGAAAAGAAAGAGGAGGAGGAGGAGGAGGTTAACGATGAGAGGAGCGCAGACAGACAGAAACATCCTCCACGCCTCCCCGGTCGGCCTGCGTTTCTCTCTCCGTGGAGCAAGAGCTATTTTACTGTATAACTCTTTCCACAGACAGAAGAGAAGAGCAGAGGCTCCAGAGGAAACTGTCTGAAAACAGAGCCATCATGGACTCACTTCCAATCCAGCCTTCACAGCTTCCCTAACAGCGCTGAGTTTACTTTTATATTTTACTTTCTTCTGTGAACGTAAAACATTAAATGAACAATTTAGACTACCATCTGTAGTTGACTTTTTATGACCAAATAATAATGTCCATCAAGGTTTGAGAATTCAGCAAAATGGGGATGTCTCTGCAAAAAGCAAAGTTAAATACACTATATTCTTATTAAAGTGTCTTAGTACTTGTTCTAAAATGTAGGCACAAACTGCAAGTAGTAAGTTTGCAGTAATATGTGGACATCAGACAGAAATAAGTGCAGACATGGTGCACACAACTACTACTACTACTCAAGGTTACAGCAGGGAATCCAGCCAGATAGTTTCAGTAATAACAATTCTACTGTTCATTTTCAATTTATCTTCCAAACAGGTTTACATGGATCAGTGGTATATGAGCAATGGTAGTTTTGGGGGGTAAAAAACACAGTTATCAAACTGACATTTGGTAAGGTAACACTGAGGTAACAGAATTGGTGTCAGAGGAAGTTGGATTGGTACATCACTAACATCACTGTGTCAGTCAATGAGTATCATGTTATCGTCACTATAAATAAATGATGGATGAGAAATTCAAAACAATCCCCAAATTCAATGTTTCTAAAGGTAGAGGACATGTCAGTATGTAATATAACATGGCTGTATTGTCCAGGTCTATGAATGCAACGTATTTGTTGTTATGAAAATAACACCGGCAATTGTCTGACCAATGAGAATTTGGTCAACAGAGAGCATATCGCCCAACCAATCGACTAGTCGATCAGAACACTACGGCCCTTGTTGTTTTTTCCTTGATGACACAAACATTTGAATACTGGTAGCAGCAGTAGAATGTGAGAAAGAAAAAAAGTCATATACTTTGGTGGAACTAATATGGAAGTGATTTAGTATATCAAAGACCTCGATGCTCTGTGAAGTTTGTAAAAACTCAAAAACACGACAGAAGAACAAACATACTCCAGCACTAAAAAGTCCAACAGTGTAACGGCAGCAACGTACGTTCTCTCAGTTTCAGGTGTAGCTCCAGTCCAGATTCCAAAACCAAAGTTAAAAACAGCTAACGTGGTGGAAGAAAATTGCACAAGCATTTCAAAGACGTGCTGTCAACCCCTTGTTTCTGTCGCACAGCAGCTCCTGTTGTTAACAAACAAGCTCTACAAACTGTTAGTGGTGTTTTTATTCTGTTGGTCTTGCTCATGCAGCCCTAGTTACCAGTTTTAATCAAGAAAACTATTCTAGAGTTGTGTAAAAGAAATAGAAAGAAACAAAGTAGATTAGTGAAATTGTGAAATGTCTACAAATTGAAAGATTTCACTTTTTGGCCACATCTCCCAGCCCTACATGCAAGTAACTGTTACAAATTAGTTAACAAGGAGGATGTTAATTGGTTCAGAGAAATGCCAGTGGATGTAAACAGTAAGAAAATCCCAAATACTCCCCCAGTTTAACCTGTTACAATACAGGCTTAACAACAACAACAGCGTGGAGATGAACAACAGCAGACGGTAATGCAGGTTGCAGCCAAAGGGCAATATTTCTTATTAAATACAAACCCCATCATATGTTATCCTTCACCTAACACACACTACATAAAGCTTTGTCTGTATTCATCCTCTGCAACTTATCCAAACTAAGTCCAGCCGGCCGCTCACAGTAGCCAGGCCCAATCGATCCAAATTACCCACTGTTTGGCTGCTTGAGTTCCTTCAATGCCCGATCAATCCCCCGCAATTGACAGTTTTAACATGCTCCACCGCACACCACTTCTGTCTGTGTGTGTGTGTGTGTGTGTGTGTGTGTGTTTGTGCACACGTGAAACTGAAAACGTTGAAGGCGCACTGTTCTCCGTCTCATATTATAGCGAGCGCTGCCGTCATACAACAGTGTGGAGAAATAAGGAGATAGTGCATGTTTGTTCGTCCTGATCAATACTAATGAACAGGGATTAGCTGAAGTAATATTGGCTGTTTTCAGGTTGGGGGAATGGGACAGGGCTATTTGCTGGACTGATAGCGAACAGGCTTAAAGGTTTTTGATAACACGATTATCATTTAATATCTGTCTGAGAAGACAAACACAGTTGCAGAGATTTCAAAAAGTCCTTGTGGAGGACCAGAAGGACCTCAAACACTAATCGGACTGAAATGAAAGTGGTGGTTGAAGTTACAGCAGAAAAAACATTTGGGTAGTAGGACACTGTGAATATATCAGATAGACATAACAGAAACCCCCAGTAATTAGACAATGACCCTTTTGTGGTTTAAATTACGCACACAAAAAAGACAATATAACCTCTAACCTCAAACATGTACCATTACACACTTTGGATAATGCCTGGTAACATACGACTTATCGAAATGGTTTTTAACTTTAAAATACATAATATCCAGTATAAATATATTGTATATTTAAAACAGAAATGTGCAGGTTGGAGACCCCTGTGAATTAATGTTCAGGAAAATGAAGCACAGACTAGATTTTTTTTAAACAAATATATCTATATACCTACTACAAGAGCATTTAGAGTAGTTCTTGCTACAGAGTTTTATGTCTGCCTCAAAAATCACAATTTTGTTGGGCGTCACTATCGCTCACCTGGTTGAGCTGGTGTCCCATGTGCAGGGCTACAGTCCCAATGTGGAGGTCATGAGTTTGAATCCTGCTCATGGCCCTTTCCCACATGTTCTCCCCCCATTCTTCTCCCTCATTTTCCTGTCTCTCTCTCACTGCACTATCTAATAAAGGCACAAAGGCCAAAAAACTAACTTGAAAAAAAAAAAAAATCACAATTTTGCTGTGATGTCAGGAGAGAGACAGCAGCCAGTTGAGCTGCAGATAAACAACAATTATTATGTACCTTATATGTAAAACTACTCTGTACATTACATATAATATGTAACAGTGGCTTTTATCCTCAAGAGGCTGCATATGACAGACCAGCTTTATAATTATGAGCTGCCACGATGTCACTGAGACCAGGATCAGATGAGGATTAGATGAAATAACAGCCATCAGCGAGAAATGAACTAGTGATAAAGATAAGCAGTGGAGAGCAGGACAGGTGTCTCAATGAGTGACAGTCGTTTGATAATGACAGCTAACGTTGTGATACATCTCAGGAATGTAAAGTTTGCTATCACCTATCAGGATACAACACAACTACTTGGCCATTTAATACTGAAGCATTGAAACTTATAACAGAAACTCCTTTGAGAATCAACTGGTATCAGTCAGTTTTCGCTTTTCGAACATAAATCAACACTACATTTTAAGGTGCCACAATAGAGAGAGAGGTGGATGACTGATTTAGAAGTTTGCAAACATTAAAGAAGACAACCATCAGTCCTGCTGGAGCCAGAAGCTACTGCTGCTGAAACTAAAGCTACTTTGTACATCAAAGAGACTGCAACAGCTGTCAGACTCACAATTCCTGGCTTAAACACCCTGTCCAGAACTCCATTATATCTCCAGAAAGATCCTTCTGTCTAAAATAAGCACTGCACAAGCTTGCGTTTTCCGTTTGAGGCAGCTGCACAAACACAATCATTCACAATGAAAAAAATCCAAAGTAAAAGATCAGCTTCCTAAATCACAGTCGCTCAGACTCACAGCGACCTGCTACTGCTCAGATGACTCCCTTATTTGACATAAAATGGCATGCTATGGGAAATAGTACTGATAATAACATACAATGTACCACAATTTTCAAGAAATATTAAGTATAAATACAGTAAAAATTTGACCCTCAAGTTGCTCTTTAATATTTTTTTACTACTTCCTGGGATTTTGATGACTCACAGTTGAGTATTTTACACATAAAACACTCACCAATGGTGTTGAAGCAGTGGATGTTCAGGCTTGCCGGGCTCCGGTCTCCTATATGGATCTCCTCCAGGCTGTGGTCCGAGTTGTTGGTCAGTATAACCTGCACTGCAACCATGCTGGGCTGGTATAAACATGGCTGCCTGGGGAAATGGTACTTGGCTGACAGGCCTTTTCCTGTCATATGGTGAAGCAGCTCATAGGTTTTCACGGGACCGAAAGATGGAGTGGTGACCTAAAAGGACACATGAAAGACAGGGACACACCACTTATTCTAAGTGCGACTTGAAGCAGTAGTTGAAACTAGGGCTGAACGATATTGTAAAAAACTGACAATGCAATCCATTTTTTCCTGCAATATGTATTGTAGTATGAAAAAATCCAGTATTTTAGAATCAGTCATTCTAAATAATGATTTTGGAGGGGAGTGTGTCTGCATCGGCTTTTGGACAGATGCTACAATTTTCATATGTTCCCTAAACACCTCACATGCAGTCTGTGGTAGAAGCTAAATCGGCAGCTCTACACAATGAAGCCTCTAGTGTCCTTTTAGTTACAGCAGAAGCTCATACAGGTGTACAACCAAAAATGACCTAAAACATCCCAATGTCAGATTTTCTCAAGATGGTCTCAAGTCCCTGATGCAGTGGCCATGGGTTCAAATCCGGCCCACGGCCATTTTCGGCAGGTCCTTTCCTTTCCCCAATCTTCTCCCTACTTTCCTGTCTTCCTCTCCACTTATCTGTCTAATAAGTCCAAAAAACATACATTATGAAAAGATCAACTCAAGTGACTATATCTACAGTCATTCATGCTAAAGTCACTAATATTCATTTAACAGTGGGAGCTAAGCTAAAACCATGATGATGATTGATACTGCATTAATTGCAAAGCCCTACAACTGAGGTTTCATTTCCTTTTTGCAGTCCAATCTTCCTTTTCAGGGTTTTTTTTTCCTGTTGCTGACTCATTTAGCTGGGCAACTGCAGAGTCTGCATGCCAACAAACACCATGTCTTGTAAATAAAGTAGATTAGTCACAGAAAATAAACATGTGCGTTTTCATATTGCATCAAACAGCAAAATAAGTTGGAGCATGATGTGTTTAAGTTAAGCTGCCCTACTTCACTTCATACTTCGTGCAATGTGACTTTTGTGAACGTGCACATCACAATGTTGAAACGCACAAATTGTTTCTTGTTTATCAAAAAGATAAATTGCGCTATGGATTGGACTGATCTATAAACTGAGTCCTGCTAGAGCACAAGAAAAGGAGGAAGATGACAAGAAAAGCACATGCAGAGCATTGCCCAAATGCATAAAGCCTTAACACAATATCCTGGGACGCTTTGTACATTACAGCACAAATGCACCCACACAAGAGGCCAGATTAATAGAAGAACCTCCGGTCTTCCCATCACCTATATTCACGCAATTGAATTCATCCAGTCAGCAGCCAGAAAGCACCACTTCTTAGCGAAGTGGGACCAAACGTTGGCTGATAACTCCCCCACCCCGGCCCCTCCGTTCATTAACTCTGTAGGATAAAGACGAGCGCATTCAAGAAATGTTCTCCATCAGCCCAGTTAGATGGAAATGGGCTGGATGCTCAGTCCAACCATGCTGAATAAATACAACCTCTAATGAATAGAAACACAAGTGCCTGCATGGGCCAAACCTGCCATTCGCTGGCCGTCTAAAGGGGCTTTTACCTTTTCAGAGGCAGGAAATTGTATTACCTTTCGAGATAAAGTGGAAAACAAAGGAGGTGGAGGTGGGTGGTGGTCTATTTTTCAATGCTAAAATTCTTAGTTGACACTTGACGCTGGTGAGATTTTCACTTGATGCTGGCAACTGTCAGCTCTAATTAGAAAGATAAGATGGTTTGGGCCAAACAATGCAACACCGCCGCCAAATGTGGAAATAATCACGTAATGTGCAATAACATGAGAAACACCTCTGTTGTACTTCTGTCTGCAATGCAAAGTAACAAAACCATTACCAAGGCATGGCAACTTTAAGTAGCTTCTTCAGTTGTCAATGAATCTCAAAGGTCCTTCTGCCTTGAGTGACAGCACTAATCTGTATAAAAAATAAGGACAGATACAGCCTTTTCACACCTTCGAAAACAATTAGCACCTGAAAACACTTGTACATCGACACAGAGCCAACACCTAGACCGATGTATGCCATTCTGCTGCAAATGAGTTCAGACACAGAAAAGTTTCTATTTACCACTTGAACGTGATTTTTAAAAAAAAACAAGAAAACAATTTTAACTCTCAAAGAAGTCAAGAGTAGCAAAATAAAGCACTGAATGCAGCATTTAAAAGAAGTAAACAAAAACAACCAGTGGTAGAAAAACACATCTGCAACGAATGATTATGCGAGGTGTGTGAACTAATTAAGCTAATTGAAAATGACTAAGACTGTGATACGAAGAAACACAGTGGAAACGCGGGGGGCACGATGGTGCAGCTCGGCGTGTTGAGTGGTGTCAGTGTACATTGTTTTACTGAAGCTGAACGCACTGCCAGTGTGTCCCGACTCGGGCGGGAAAATGTACGAGGCATCCTCGGACTTGTCATGTGGCTTGTGAGGATGAAGAATCAGGCTGACGTGCGACAAGAGCTGTTGAGATGAGTTTCAGGGTGTTTACTTTAGAGGAAGGGACTAGAGTTTAGCAGCAAGACATGAAAAAAAAAGCAACACTCGCGACACTGTTTCACTAACCTCGAGGCCAGCAGAAAGCATTGAAAGTCAGCACTGGAAGGGTGCATCATCTTCAACCTTGTTCACTTATTCTTAGGTCAGATATTTACTCATCTAATCATGAAATCAAGAAACACAATTTATTTTTGACATTGTTAGGTGGGGTTTCTGTAAATAATTCTACGTTTGTTTTTGTTTTTTTTTTAACAAATGTTAAACTCGGTGCCAGTAAAAACACAATATTTTCAACTTTTGTAAACATATCCCATGGCTGAGAAATAGCTCCAGACGTCTCATCATCTGAGAGATGTTGAGTCATGTTGAATTATTTTCATGCTTCACTGCACATATGCAGATAGTCTTTCGTTATTTTCTTAAATCAAATGGAGTAGATTAGTGACTTTTAGGGAGAGACAAGAATCTGTATATATACAAGGCAGGTTATTACAGAACAATGTTGCTGCTATGAGATGCCACGACTATTGAGCACTGACACGAACAGTGTCCTGGGTCTGCCGGAGGGTAGAATGTCTGCATGACAAGTAGCCTCCGGTTGGGCTGTCACACCTCTACCAATTTACTCGGTGGTATCAAGAAACTGGATCTGTGGAGGACAGACCAAGTCCTGGATGTAAACGTACAACCATGGTTGCTCAAGACTTGCGCTCTCCCATCTCAGAGGTCAGTTTCGCACAGGATCCAAAACAGTTCAGAAAACTCCTAAAAGACACCAGGCAGAAATAAGTGCAAACACTGTGAGGAAGCGCCTCAGGGGTCGTGACCTTTATTCCCAAAGACAATGTCGAGGGACTGTCCTGATGGCACAGCATCACCAGAATGGCCACCTATGGGCAAGACAGCATGCCAGGTAGACCCCACAGTAATGGAACAATCTTGTGTTCACAGAAAAGTCCTGATTTTGTCAGTCACAAGCTGATGGATGTGAACATGTGTGGCAAAGACATGGTGAACATCATGCAGAATGTCACCATAGCATAGAACTGTTTTGGTTGTCATCAATGGCAATATGGCTGTTCTTCATGTTCTTCAGCCTGTTGGTATTGTCCAATTGTGGTGTACAAAACTGACTTTGAAGGGTAGAATATCCCCTTTAACATTTAAAATAGCCCCACACAAAGACACTTTTTAATAATTCAACTGTAACTGTGACTTGTTTCCAAATAAAAATAAAAAACATGATTGCAACAGTTTGAGTATCGTATTAGCACCAGTAGCAAAAAAATGTAAAAACTGCTGGTAGATACAAGAGAAACTCTTGGATCAACAACACTGTCTCCTTGACAGACTCGCAGCGTCTCTCGTGCTCAGACCGCCCAAGCGCCCGTAAAAGGAGGTCAAACAAACATTTGTTGCTGTGCTGTAATGCCGCCGTGCCCTCACAAGCGCCCGTCACGCCACCGCCAGCCTGCAAATTTATTGGGCCACTTTTGAATGTGTCAGAGCAGTCGGTGTCGATAAAGCTTGCCGTAATGTTTGCCACCCCATCACAGCAGAGATTTACCTCCCTGACAGACACATCCTGCTTCAAGGTCCTGTCTGTCCCCTCGCCCCGAGCAAGCGGCAGCGAGGAGGAGGAGGAGGAGGGACGGACGGCGGGCGATAGGACAGGGCTTCAAACTGCTTATTATCACCAATTTGACACAGTGGACAGTTAAAGCCTGACACAAGTGCCCACACAAGCCCCTTCACCCTTCCATCCATTGTTGTCCTGTTACACAGTGCAAGCCCATAACACCTCAAGTGTAAATAAGAGAAGAAGAGGGATGTAACCTTGACTTCTCTGTCAGTCGTTTTTTTTTTTTTGTTCTTTGGGTTTGGCTCACAGTCTCCACCCTGGACAGGAAGGAGGGAGGTGACAATGAGCGAGGAAGTTGATTGAGAGGCTCTATTATGCATCAACTTAAAGGAAGCTCCTGTGATGGATGACACAGACACCAGTCACCTTCAGAACCCGGACGCCACGTTCCCAGCATCCTCTCTGGCAAATGACCTGAAAATCCCGCTGACATATTCAAAAGGACTAACCAGAGCCGGGCAGCCTTGTGCCGTGTGCATAAGGGGGCCAATTTAAAAGAAAGAGGTATGAGCCGTACAGAGATGTATGGGAATATATTGAAAATCCATTTCTGTTTTTCAGACACCGTCTGCCTCAAACACCAGCGACAGGATTTCATTATGCTCAACAAGAGTTGTGAGGATTAAGGTAAGGGACATGTGTTTGACTTTAGGCCCTAATTGTTCCCTTCAGTCAGGAGATGACAATTAATTGAGGGGCGTCACAAAGACCTTGACTGCAAATTGAATTAAATAAATGTTACTACAGCCACCTAAAACCACTTATTTAATGTAACAAGAACTCTCTCCAGCGCATATAGACAGAGGTTACTTAATTTATGCCAATTTGTCAGTAAATTAGGTATTCTAAAATGATTAATTTTGAAATTTTCCATTAAAGAGCATTAGCAATAATAGAGGACTGTTATTCAGAAACAGTGGTGTCCTTCATCTAGTTCTGCAAGTATTGATAAAGAACTGCCAGCACTTTTTTTTTTGTGTAAGCATGATTTTTAATTGAACTACAGCTTCAACTAAGGATTATTAATTACTGATTATTTTCTGGATTATTAGATTAATAGTCTGGGATATAAAATGTCACAAACTTAAACCAATCACAATTTTCCACAGAGAAAGCTCCAAGATGACATCCTCAAATGTCCTGTGTTGTCTACAGCCCAAAGTTATTCAGTTTTCTGTCATAGAGGAGGTAAGCAACAAGAAAACATTTTAAATTAAGAAGCTTAAATGACAGACCTTTAACTGTTTTTACTTTAGGAAAAAAAAAGATTCAAAAATTCTAAAAATTATTGGAGTTTAATTAAAAAGTTGACAGTTACTTGATTGTTGGATTACTTGTTGCAGCTCTAGTGTCGACATGAAACTATTTGCTTCTGTGTCGCTCTCATTGATCAATGTGAAATATTAACTTCACTTGCAAATGATTATAGGGTTTCATGTATACAATAACTTTTGCAACAAAATATGGAAAAATAAAACTCTTGTTGACTTGAGTATTTTCACATTTCCTCTACTTTAGAATTATACTCTACTGCATCTCGGAGAAATACACCAATAAACTTTTACTCCATTTCATAACAGAGTCCCAAAGTCACATTTTGTTAAAGTGAAATAAATAAAATTTTGAATGCAGCAGTACAGCATTATGATACTCTGATTGTCACTTTTACTAACAGTATCTGAATATTAAAGAAATAAGCCGCATAGTAGGACAATAGTAGATTTATTATTTGTGCAGATATGTCCTCATAATTATGTTTATAAATTGGAAAATACAGGGTTGAGACTCTAATTCAATTGCTTAGAGTAATTAAAAAGCTGCGTGGTTGGTTGATATACGTTTACATTTTAGCTGTCAAGAGGCAATGAAGACGCACATACAATCATCAATATTTTGAAGGAACACTGACTTAACCTCTGTCACCTCCAGAGAAAGGCAACAACAACAGGAGGTAGATAGAAAAGATACGATGACTCTACACACATATACATGCAAAGATGCCGGTGCTCATTTAGTGAAGTAATTAAGAAGCGAAGAAATGCTGCATTGAAACGCAGATATTTCCCAAACTACCTGCTGGCTGCTTAGGCCACCGCACTGACTGGCTATTTCCGTGTGGGCATTTATTCCTATTTAAGAAGCAATCTCTGCAGTTTGAGTGGCAGCAGGAGGTTTGGAGGGCAGGAGCTGCTATATTCGTGGCGCTCGAGGTCCTTCTGCTGATTCATAATTAGACGTGAACCCAGAGCGCCCGCTACGGGGGAGGTCAGAAGGGTGAGGAGGGAGACGAGGGAGAAGGGGGGGCTGAGCTGGCGCCCGCCTGATGGACACCAAATGAACAAATTATGATGGCCCCCTCTGGGCGTGATGGGGTCAAACGCCCTGCGCCCCGCCGCTGACAGTTCAATTTCCCCCCAACGCAGCCCCATTCGCTGACTGCTAATTATGAATGAAAAGTTATCAGCCTCAGCCACCCCGCCGCACACACGGACAGCGGTCGGAAGAGGTTTGGGGTGGGGTGGAGGGCGGTGGGGCGGGGTGGGGGATTTAAGAGGCATTTGTGAGAGATCCTAATGTCAAAATGTTATTAGAGAGAGCGGTAGCATGCAGAAACTGGGGAGAGGAGGAGGAGACAGAAGAGGAGGTGGGTCAAAGACAGTGACCAGGGTTAATCTAAATGCCTTTGATAACCATGCAGTAATTCTCTAAAAAGGCCCGAGCGCTCAGCTGAGACAGACTCACTGCCTCTGTGGGCAGATTGCTGAGAAATAGAAATGACACTGAGGCCAGTGTGTGTATGTGTGTGTGTGTGTGTGTGTGGGAAAGAGCTGTTGTGTGGGGAGGGGTGTGTGTGAATAAAGGTGAGGTTATTTACCCTTGTCTATGAATCCCGTTGCCCATCATGTATTTATGCATAGAATTGACTCTAAATCAGATGTTGATGCGCAAAAAGTTCCCTGTTCTAATCTGCATTTCTATTCTCTATTACTCCCTGGCCTTCACCTGAGAAGGAGAGATTGACTAACAAGACTTGTGCTGCATAAACGCTGGCCTGAGAGCAGCTGTCAATCATACTGACTGACAGGCGGCCAGGACTGACGGGCAGAATATAGACTAACTCACCACAAAGCTAAGTACAGCAGCAGAGCTGGGACAGTGTGGAGGCCATTCAGATAGCTGGGACTGGGAACACACTTATCCACCTGCAGCCTAATGAACTGTTTCTGATACAAAGTTAAGACAGACTTAAACAAATATGTGTTTTAAATGTATCTTTAACATGAACTCTGCAAACTCTGTTTGTTTACCATCCACTGTTGTTTAGCTTCATTCAGATTGTAAATGGATCTAAAAGTCCCTCACTGGTCACTGATAAACCCTAAAAACTCATCTCTGTGTATCTAAGTAACATTTTTCTAATGTTTTTGCATGAGACTAATCAGTTCAAAATGGCTTAGATGCAAGCCGACACCGCTGCCTCATCTACAACATGGAGATCTACATAGTTCCTGACTCTCTCTTCACTCACCACTTGCTGTACCTCGAGCACACCAGCTCACCTGAGACTCTGCACCATGTAAAACTACTCTATGCCACACATTGACTATTTGCAATTTTAAAAACGTACATGTTTGAACAGAAAACTGATCTGAAGAATAATGATAGAGAAAGTTCACCCCTGCGCGTTGACAGGACCGGCTTCTTAGGTTTGTTAAGTATCAAAGCCCCGAAAGTCTAAATCCAAGTTTTTGAAACCATCATCAGTACACTGCAGTTTCAAGGTGGAAATGCTCAGTCATTATTTTTGAATGCTTAATTCAGTCACAATACATCTTCTAGCAAATAAAAAACACTATATGAACATGCTGACATGATAAAAAGCTTGATTTCTACTAGAAGGGGTCTTTAAAGGACGGGTACTTCTTACAACATTTTGCATTTTTATCTCTTTCCCTCTCAGTCTTCACTCCATCACACCTTACTTGAAACCAGCAGCTTTTGAGCCAGGCTTCTTCTTGTGGTATTTTTGCTTAAAAAGGACAATATTACGATTACTAAATTGTGTGTCAATTTACTACAATCCAGCTCTACTCAGAAACAGACACGGATATCAAAATGTGCTATTTAGGTACCAGTACTTAGTTTGTTTACCCATGTTGTGCTCATTGATCCCTACCAATGTGCAATAACAACTTAGCTTGTAACTAAAACAAGCACCAACATTGTCAAAAAAATATCGAAGGAACTACGATTGTCTTGAGTATTTTTTTTTTTTAACTTAAAATTCCACAATTCTGCAGCCCACAAAAATATACTAATAAACTTTTACTCCCCTTTGTTATTTGAAGTGCAAATGTATTTTACGGTAATTTTAAACTCAGGTAAAGGGAAAAGAAAATTGTAAGAAGCAAGCTGCACAACAGCACAGCAGTATATTTATGAAGCCACAGATCTGGTCTCATAATTATGTTTATAAATTGCATTTCGTCTGTGCATCTCTATTGAGGAAGCCCTCCTCTGTTACGCTTGCAGAGGTTTCTTCCTTTTTATCTGCACTTTCAAAGTGTTGCTTAGATTAAAAAATAATTTTTGATTTGCACGATGTAAATAAAACGATTTTGACTTCAACTGTACAATAATTAAGATGTCTTGAGACTAAAGAGGCATTTAGCTTCGACGCAGTACTATTGCAAAACAATAAGTGGAATTAGCTGAACATGAAACTCATCAATTCAAGTGGCCTAAATATTAACGGCAAACAATGATGAATCAGCTATTTAAATTATTGACTGCAAATGTTATATTTAAAGAAAAAAAATTAGAGCTTTTAGACAATTTAATGATTAGATGATTACTAGAGCAATCAAAAACTGGTTAAGTAAAATAATAATAGTTACTTGAAGCCAGTTAAAGTTAATTGATTTACAGGAAAACAAATCAAACAATAGTATTAATCAAATTCAAAGAAATTGTAAAATACAACCACATATCAAACTCCTAAGTGAATGCTGAGCATATTGGGGATTAACACTGTAAATAATCTGATCAAACATCTTAACTTTGTACATCTGATGTAAAATCTTCCAACAGCAGAGTTACCAGAGATCTGGCTGGGCGACACAAAATAGACACAGCAACAGCAGAAAGAATGGTCTGGACATTTTCCTCCCAGGGGAAGACAAGATACAAAATACACAGATGTGCAGAGTCGCTCACATACTGAGGAGAGAAAGGAGCCGTCACACTAGGAAAGGTCAACCATCAGATATACACAACATGGAGACACGAGGGACACAACATCTGACAGAGAGAGATGGAAGGTGACAGAGAGGAGGAGAGAGATAAGAGAGAGAGAGGAGGAGAGAAACAGAGCGGGTGGACTTATAGATGAGACACAGAAATAGAGTTCAAGGGTGTGGAAGAGCAAAAGACAGCGAGGGTGAGAAAGACAGACTATAAGAGATACAGGAAACAGGGAGAGCTGTTGTACCTTCCTGACTGGCTATAAATATAACAAGGCAGAAAAGGTCAATAGTTGGCGTCTGGAGCAGAAATGTTCCACAAGGGAGAGCGGCTCATTTCACCATCTCATATGCTGCTCTGCTGTACTGTCAGTGTCAGACAGAAAGGAACAATTGACTCTCAACACACGTTGATGGAGGAAATGTCATCCAGTGTGTCTCTAATGCAGAAACACACACACGATAGTGTACTAACCTGCATGGTGGGGGAGATGCTGGAGAGAGAGAGGCCTTCAAGGTCGGACAGCAGGCTGGGAGAGAAGACCGAAGACTTTGGTGTGTTTGTAGGTGCAGGAGAAACTGAAGAACCAAAAGAAAAAAGAAAACGTACACTTGAAGCTTATCAAAGCGACTGTGAGGAGTTTCCTGTAACACTGTTTGTGTACTGCACTGTCTACTGTGGATTTTTAGACTGTCACAGGAGGGTGCCAGAGGCTAGAATTTTTAAATTGTACATCTTCTACAGCAGCTTTAAAAGTCCCATATTGTGCCCTATTTAATGAATGAATGCAAATGTTAAATGTCCCCAAACTGTTTCTTTGTGCTTCAGCTCAAAGTTCTGCAAATACAGTTAATGTCACCATGACTGTATAACTCCTGGTTTTAGCCCTGTTCTAAACGAGCTGCTTCAATGTCTGTAGCTTTAAATGCAGTTGAGCTGCTGCTTCAGGAAGAAGACTCTCTCTGCATCTGTGAATAAAACCGTTAACCGCGCAGCAGCTGACACAGATGTGAATAAGAGCAGCATGTTTTTAACTTTTTGAGTGCTTGTTTTATTGGAAACATCTCAGAATTCACAGCCCAGTAGTTGTTTTTAATTCACGTGTTTTATGAGTTTGTCAGACGACATCGTGGTTAAATAATTATCACTGGATAAATTCAAGTACAGTTGTTAGTGTTGGCTCAGAAAAATACATTTTTTTTTTCATTTCTTTATGACCACCTTATTTTGCTTATAAAAATGTGCTTTGGTGAAAAAAGCTACAGGTAGAAATGACAGCTGCTTGAAATCATGAGATTCTGCTTTCATTTAAATGAAGAACGATGATGAAGTACATCATACTTATGATAATCTAACACAGAATGAGGCAAAGCAGCAGCAGAGCTTGTTTTCAGGTCAAGGCATTGATTACTATTAGATGATACAAAGTCGTATTCATTATGATTTCATGAGTCTTGCATTAGTATTTTGCTATGACAAGTTTGAATGCAATCTATAAAAGAAAAACTTGGTAAAGGCAACAAATATTTTTTAACTGAGGGCTGTGTTTTGTAAACGAATTGTTGTGGCAATTTTGTTATAAAATTGCCCAATTATACATCCAGCAGACACAGAGCAACACTGACATTCAGTTAGAGCCATGTTTCTGGCCACCTGACAAATGTAGAAAATATTCACTTCCATATTAGCTCTGTTTTGGTTTTCAGAGAAAAATATCTGGGGTATTAGTTGGCAGAATCTTCTTTAATAGGCTTCTATCCTTGTGTGTTTGCCATTTGGGGATGGAGAGACAGAATTTACATGAGCCTTTTTGCAGCCTGCGGCTGTTGTTAATGTGGTTTATGCCAGCAAAATTTGCAGATATACTCACAGTCATCGAGATCCAATAAAGACACTTCCTTCCTGGACTTCACTGCCACCTGAAAAGGAAACATAGCAACTTGATGGTGAGTCACACAAGGAGTAAAAGAAGTACTGAAATGGTTTCAATTTCACTGACAGCGCCTCTAAAGACATGACAGATTCATCCCAAAAAATAAGATACTCCGCATTTATATGTAACACGTCTGGAATTTGCAGTGATCAGTCATGCACGGTGTTGTGTCACAGCCGCCACCTCATGCGACCGAGCCCGGCTTGTCAGGTGTTGACTTGTGGGAATTACAACACTCGCCTCGAGCTCACACCACAAAAGCCCCAATAAAAACGCATTTAAACGTACGAGCGCTTTTATCACCCTTTCTCTTAACCAACCTGGCTCCGTTCGCATCACATAAAGAACCATAAAATTCCACTCTGCATACTTGAGGTTGAGCAGACAGGGAAGGAAAATAACAGGACAGAGATGTGAGAGAGGAATGAGAGTGAAAACAAACCATAAAGTTAGAGGCCGTATCTTATCAGATTGTCTCTGATTGACGCTTGGTGGTGGTAATAGAGACGGAAACCTTGTTAGTAAAGGGCGGTCGGAAAGAGCAGGAGAGAAAGAGAAGGAGAGAATGATGCATAATTCATAGGCCATGCCCAAATGACAAAGTGTATGAAATGAGAATTTCATAGTGCAGAAAAGCAAAGGGAGGGCGAGAAATAATGTGATGAGCATAACAGGTAAGAAAAAGATTGTGAGGGCTGAAACAGGGGGCAAATGAAAGAGTGGAAGAGAAAAAATAAAGGTGGTACCATGGAGCCAAATTATATCCCAGAGTATAAATTGTGATTTTGAAGCTCTCAACACATGACGTAGCCAGGGATCATGTCTCTGGGAGAGCATGGTGTTAATACCTAGACAGATCATTATCCATTTTACAACAACATCATACTCTACACTGGTTTAGACATGATAAATTGTAAATAGTATATATTATCTTACACCAGGGATGAACATTACAGTGGGAGAAATGCATGTTTTTCTGTAGGTTTCCATATAAGTGCTATTAGATGCTTAATAACAGCTCCAAATCAACATCATTTGTATGTATTTAGCTCCAGAGAATGAACCACAGCTGAAAGCAGCATGTTGCCATGGCTGCAAAGATCTATATAAAATGTAGTCTATTTTTAATATCTCACTTTTCATACGGAGCTGGAAATTTTCCCCATAATGTCATGCACTTCTTATTACATAGCTTCTCTAAAAAATAAAAAAAATAAAAAAAACAATCAGAGAAACATGGCTAACATTTGACATATGAGTATTTAAGACACACACAACATTGAAACTAGTTCTCATACATTAAAGTTCAGGATTTATTGTATGTTTTGTATATGACTTGTTTGTTTTGTGTTGGATTCAACAAACTTTATAATTATTAAAAAACAATAGATAAGACAAATATCGCGAGGTGGTCTTATTACACAAACATTAGCTTACAGGCTGTATAAACCGATGCTGTTCTCTATGAAATTTGCAGGAATTTACTCACTTATTACGTTATCTAATGCTTACAATTATAAAGTGTGTTTTGGCATTAGTATGCTCCACTCTCTTGGGTCTGTCTAAATCAAGGCAGCTATACAACAAAACTAACAAGAAATAGCATCCGGATAGATCAAAATGCATCTATTGATCGATAATCACGTGACATGTGCTGTGTTTATTCATTTAACATGCAGGTGTTCTTGAGAAAACAGTGAATTATCCCACAGTGTAAAGCAATCCTTAGAAACATACAGCAGGTCTGATGATCTGTGATAATCTGGGGCACAACAAATCTATAAATCTCATGTTTGGCTGCTTTATTGTTTCTTTGCTTCCACTAGGAGTCCATATTGTATTTTCTATTTCAGTATTTAATGTCAATGATGAGCTACAAGCACTATTTTGTATGAAAGAACTAGTTCCAACTTACAAGTGATTTTTAAAGTCCCATTCTAAAGGAATCATTTAGAAAGTTACATTTTGATTCTGTTTGTCAGTTCCACAACAAATTTCCCTCACGCTGTGTGTGTCTACCTCTCTCAGTCTGCGCCATTAGTCATGCAAGTTGAGTGCATGCGTGTCCTACCATCCCCTAATGCATTTGTCCTAATAAATTGTGAGTCTAGCATTGTTCTCTATGTTGCTGAGTTGCTTGATTAGCAGGTAAACAGCAGCACAAACTGTGTGATTGTCTCGTAACAATCACCCTAAATTAGTGACTGGTGCCACAAAACACATTACAAGAACAGGATTGGACTCTGTTATCATTACAGTAAACTAGCTGAACTAAACACGGACATATAAACCAGAAAAGAGACCATAATTATTATAGTTACAATTATGTATCTGCGTGTTTCTGCTCCTAAAATTGATCTGTGGTGAGCAGCGTTTCACACAACTTTGCTGCAAATGTGGGAGGATGCCGTAGTAACATGGCATGAACAGGGACTCTGTATTCATCTTCTGTGACAGTGAACACAACACACAGTTTTATTCACTATTTTACTTCTCTATTTCTCTCATCACAGTTGACTAAATTAGCTTTGCTCCCTTTCTAGCAACATTTAACTGTGACTGCAGCAATGTGATGCTACTCCTCTCACACACCAGGAGACACTCACCAAACCCCACAGTCTACATCAGCACCTTCTTTAAAGAACATGTGCAGTCAGGCTGTGAGTGTGTTAGCATTAACTGTACAAAAACATAATAACTTATTAATTACTGTAATTATTAGGTGTTTGTTTAATTTGATAGACACTGCTGGGCAGCAGTGGAAGAAATACTCAGATCCTCTACTTGACTAAAATGACCACACTGTCAAAGTTCTGCATTGAAAATGTTACCTAAAGTAAAACTGTGACTGTTACACTAGAATACAGTTTATTAAATCATAAGGTTATTATTACTCACACATTCATGTAAAAGCAGGATTTACTGATGTAGTAACCGCCTGCCCCTCAAGAAATCAAATCATGAATGAAACCAGAAGCACTAAGCAGAATCAGAAGTGTTAAAATACAAATTATACCCAATTCAATCCCATCAGTCACATTACTGATCCGTGGACTGAAACGACCTCAGACTCCACCACGAATAAAGCACAGACAGTGGTCTGCGCCCTCAACCAGCTATATCATGAGATCACCTTAGGTTTGGTCTTTGTATCAGTCTTCTTCTGTGGTGCAGGTGAGTCGGAGTCGGAGTCGTCCTCAGAGTCCGTCTCTGAGCCAGAGGAGCTTTCAGCTGATGAGCTGCTGGCCTGGGCTACAGGTCCGTTACCATTTTCATCTGAGTCGCTGGAACACACAAGAAAACTGCCTCAGACATGGGATCAATGTAAGCAACAGAACATGTGTATAAAAAAAACAAAAACAACACTCCTGCACATTTGTTCTGTTCAGCTTTTAAGTGAAACTATTTATATACATTAAACACACACAACTTCCACACATACGTAATTTGAACTAATAGTCCAAGAACTAAAAGGAAAAGCACACTTGACAAAATCTTTTTTTCTTTTCCATCCAAACTGAAAGCCCAAGATTGGCCCGATCAATCTGTTTTTGTTTGCAAAGTTAATTCAATGCTGCATTCACTCAAAAAGATTTTTTCCATCTTTCTCCTCTCTCTTTCACTTGCTCTGTCCCTCTTCAATTTGTCCTGATAATGAGTGTTTACTCCGCCTGCCTGGGATTTTCAGCCGTTAAATTAATGAGGGGAATTGTGACGGTAACTGGCTTTTTAACTTGGGCGATGATGAAAAGCCAGTATTAATTTGGCCTACAGATTTCATTTGCTGCGAACAGGAAAAAGTGATATAAATCACTGTGGGCCTGATTAGGCCCTGCCTGAAATGACTGGGCCATAATGAGGGCATTATGCTGTGTTTGTTGTGGAAGCACTGGGGTGAGCTGCTCTAATTACTGTGTGTATGTGTGTGTGCGTGTGTTTGTGTGTGTTTGAGCACTGGGGTGAGTTGCTCTAATTATACTCTCTAATGGAGAGAACAGGGTCAGCCGGCGGCCTGTCACACAGCAAAATCAGGTACATTCTGTGTGAGTTTGTGTGTCCGTGAGCAAATGAAGTAGAGTGCATAAGAAACTAAATTTGCCAGTGTGTAAGGGAGTGTGCGTGAGCATATTCAGTAGTAATGACTCAAATCTCATTCATTGGTAACACCAGGCTGCTAAATGACCAATCAAAAGTCATTATCCATTAGCCATGTAAATGTGGGTTACGCTACTGGAGGAAAATTCTCCTTGATTAGCTTGTTAATGGAACTCACACTAACGATATTCCAGCAGCCCTGCCAGCCTGAGAGTGTGAGTGTTGGTGTGTGTGTGTGTGTGTGTGGTGTGAGAAGAGAAAGAGGTGGTGTACATACAGTACAATAGGTGTGTATGGCTAGAAAATTGTTATTTTTCTCATTTGAAAACAAGGATTTGGATTAAATTTGGTAAACAGAGCACATCTGATCCCAAAAGACTTTCCCTGTCAGATAAAATTCCTATTCATTACTTTGTTCAAATTGAACTTTTTAAAAAAAAAAAAACGGCTTGAATGCGATTTAGTGCCTCATTGTATGAATAGCATTGATTTATAAATCTATCATATTTTGTGTTGTGATGTACTTTTTTGGCATTTGATTCCAACATTTCCAATGTTAGTTGCAATTTATGTTGTTTTTGTTTTTTTTAGGATTGTCAGGCTTAAAGGTGTCTTCTCATCAAATTGGCTACAATCCCGTTTAAGGTCGAAAACAGACAATTTATTTAAAAATGGTTTAAGCAATTATTCATAGCATCACTACAAGCAAAAAACAAAGGTCTGCTCTGGTCTGTTCGTTCATTAAAGCATAAGGCGTATTAAGGCGTCCATATTATGCACATGTATAGTTTCATAATTATATTTCTGGGGTGTACTAGAATATGTTTCCATGCTTTAATGTTCAAAAACACCTTTTTTTAAGAACATGGTGGGTAATTTGCAGTCAAATTTTACTTGCAGATTTGCACAGGATTAAGATTGCAGACAACCTCCACAATTACTACAAATTACCTGAGATCTTCAGGTAGTTCTAATCCTGTGTGAAAAGGGCTCAAGAGTTTCTTTAGATTGAGCACCTGGACAAAACTATTTGTTTTCCACCGTTATGCCACCTAGTTAAGCATTTATTAGTTATTGTTTTGAGTCTATTGCACAGGATTAGAAAGACCTGAGGAGTAATTTGCCAAAATTGCTGATGTCTGCGATAATAATCCTATTCGAATCTGCTAAGTCGGCAATTTGTAAGGTAAAAATTCCACCGCCAATTACTGACCATATTTCACCAAAGACAGAGGTCCTGCTATAATATTAGTCTCGTGCAATTAGGCATATCGGTAATTTGGTGTTTCTCTGGTAATTTCTTCTGGCTCTGTCCTGCTTAAGAGTTATGGAGGATGAGTTGTAATTACAAATGAGCTGCAAATTTGGCTGCAATTTCAGGAGGTTCATATCTCCACACAGCATTTGAGACCCAGTCACAGACATCAGGATGAGGAGATGGAAGACATGCAAGACAGCAAGCAGTAAGGAATATGTTGCCGTCTTTTAACAGGCTCAACCCTTATTACATGGCAGCGTATTAACATCATATCTGAGGATAACGCCAGAAAGTCTGAGCAAAACACAGACTTTGTTTATCCTCGATGAAACACAAACATGAGGAGGTAATTTCTAAATCACATGGTCTCAGGGTAATACTAGTCTCGTGCAAAGAGGGCTTTCGTGTCTCAGTGCAAATGCCTGAACTTCCAGCGTGAGAGTTGCTTAACATAGTTGCATAGTTGTCACACATTTGTCAAAAAAAATCAAACCCAAAAGATACAGTATGTGAAACTAAATTCTAGAAAGGCTAGAGAAAGTTGTTTAAGCTTTGCTCATACGTGACAAGCATAAGCCAGGACGTTTTTAAAGTTTTAAGAGTTAGAGTTGATTTTGTTTTGGGTGTCTTTTTCAATGTATTGCAAGTAATTAAGCAAATGGTGCAGCTGTGGGTGCCAATATACAAAAAAATCTGGCAGTTAAAACGTTCAAATTTCTAACTTTTCTTGGCATATACAAAAGATGAAGTGAAAATGTTTGTGAGAATTCAAAGAAAAGCTCAAACTAAACAGAAGGAAAAAATACCAGCAAGCGGGCTGTCACACAGATAATAAAACTGGCTGAAGTGTTCAACAGATGGAGGTTCAGATTATTGATGCAGCAGAGTCGTAGTCACATTTGTTGTTGACTATGACTCCGGCGCTTCTTGCAAACACACACACACACACACACACACCTGTCTAATTAGCTAAGCGGGAAAGAAGCTGGTAACATCTGGACACACTACGTTCACACAGGGAAGAAAAATGATGCTCTCAGGCTCCAGCAGACAGCAGGGACTTCACTGTACCTGTCAGCAGCAGTTGGCTTGCTTTTCTTCTGCGGCGCCTTCTTGGTCTTTTTCTTCTTTTTTTGTTCCAATTCGGATTCACTGGAGCTTTTTTCGGACCCGCTGGAACTCTTTCCAGAATCACTGGAGGTCTTCTCAGACTCACTGCTTTCCTCCTCACTGTCACTGCCTGACTCTGTGCAGACATAAATACAGGATGCACATGAAACACAAGTCTGATGAGGCCAAGCTATTGTCTATATATTTTCATGATTTAAAACCCATCCATGAGCTGCATTTCGTCATTAACAGCCATTTATATTCAATAATTGGCTCTCAGTACAGCATGTGGCCATAGGACTTGATGTATTTAAGTAATCCAGTGCTGATAATTGCAATTTTATCTTTTTGAGATCAGCTCCACTGTTTGATTTTTACAGAGGGGATTGTTCATAAATCATTCATCACCTGACTTACAGAACATTTTATTCTTAACCACATGGCAAATATAGATGTGATTGATATGATTAATGTAGTGATAAAAAGAGATATCTGGAAATCCCCTCTGTAAAATCTTTTACCTTTAACATGTGAACAAAACAGAACAAAAAAATGAATCAAATTAAGCTGGCTTTTTTTAGTACTCAGATTTCTGTTTTAGAATTTCATGCAAATTAGTGCACGTTTAGATAGATAAGACTACATTATTTGCATGTTTAAATATAAAATTTCTCAGAAGTTGCAACACAAAAATGTCCGATTGTAAGATGTGGTTCATTGAAGTGTAGAAGGTATCCTTTGCAATATATTTTCAAATACTATCAAAAGATAGTAAAATGGCCAAATATTGACTGATCCAAAAACAAACGCTCGACCAAATCAACCAGCGGTGAGGTTTTAAAAATCATAACTTATCAGTCACTGAACTGAATAAAATCATTTGCACTGTAAACACGTGAACAAACCTTCACTGCTGCTGCCGCTGCTGCTGCTGCTGCTGTCTTCGCTGCCGCTGCTCTCAGATCCTTCCTCCTCTTTCTCATCTTCGTCATCCGAGTAGAACTTGTCGTCAGATTTGGATTGCTTGGCCTTCCCAACCTTCGGTGCCCACTCTTTCACCTAAACAGACACAGCAGAGAGAGGTGAGGCAAAACAAACCGCAGCAGTCAAGGTTTATCATTTATGGATGAGCAAACTTTCAGATCTTTAATTTTTGCAAGAGTTTGTTGAGACTAGTATTTGACTTATGTGAAGACAAATCAGCTGTAACTCCACATTTACACACAAAGTAAACAGTGAAATGTGCACACTTTGGGGCTCTCAATCACTTCACAATAAAACCTTATAAATTAGTCAATTAACCAAAACCACAACTAATTACATTTGTTTTTGCTGATATCTATTTTGTGCAGCGCGAGTTACCAAATATCTTTTCTTTTAAATCTGCATTACATTCAAAACGAGGACAAAAGCTTGTTAACAAGTGCTTCATTGTTGTTTAATTGCTTTATTAGGATGCCCATTAGCTGCCATAAAAAAACGAAGATAAAGTTTGAGCTGGTGTTGAGAGAAAATACAAAATCGATAGTATCCCGCTCCGAAAAACAAAGCGCTTTAATTTTTGTAATTTTCGTCCTTTAACTTATAGCAACAAAGTTTTTGACTTTCGGCTGAATGAAACAGAGGTGTGCATGTTAATTTCTCCAACACAGAGCAGAAGTGAAATAAGGTACAAAACAAAGGTTGGAAAATGGTAGAAGTCAGTAAATACCAAACAAGTGTGCAGTAGGAGATCAGACTTCACTGTCATTGGTAAATTACTTTTAACGGCTTGATTTTTCAGAACTACACAATCTATTAAACTTTACTTCAGATACAAAAGAATAACAAGACAAGACAAAAACAAGACAATACAAGTCAGGAACACATCACTAGATCAGGTTTACATGCCCTTATTCCAGATACACAAACTATGGTCAGAGATTTATTTTTTTCAAACATACACTAAAATCTGGAACGTGATCCATCACCACATTAAAGCAATAACCTCTGAAACACATTTAAAATAGACATTTAAGTACTTTCTGCTGTCAGGACAAACTTGCATCTATTGATTCAAATCACTTGTAACATCTTCTGTTTTGTTTGTCTTATTTTTTGTTGAATCTTTTGGTTTTTATTTTGAATTATTGTGGGATTATGTCTTCCATGTCCTGTAAAATACAAACCTGATGTAAACCAGCTGTAACTGAGTGAGGCCAGTTTAAGCATAACACATCTAATGTTATTGTTAATATTTATCCTACATAATAATAATAGAATGAAATGAACTTATTTTAAATGCAGCCTTATATTGTTTCTGGTTTTATTAAACCTAATGTCATTTTTATTTTTCTCTTTATTCTACTTGATTGCATTATTCCTATAATCCTGCTTGTTTTGATCTTCTATTTCGTTGTAGCTCCTCAGCGGTTGTCCTCTGATCGTAAGGTTGGCGGTTCGATCCCCCGTCCCTCCACAGTGGAAGTGTCCTTGGGCAAGACACTGAACCTGAAGTTGCTCCCAATGGCACGCAGCACCTTGCATGGCAGCTCTGTCGCCATTGGTGTATGAATGTGTGTGAATGGGTGAATGAGAAAACATTGTAAAGCGCTTTGAGTGCCGCTAAGGTAAAAAAGCGCTACATAGGTGCAGTCCATTTACCATTTACCACAGCTGTTCTCAACCTCAAGACTCCCTTGGCTCCGACTGGATACATAAGCTTTTGAACTTCAATAAGTTCAGGAATTTCCTTAAACAGCTGGACGCTTTTGTTTTTTGAAATATCGCTAAAAAGAAGCCAGCAGAGCCTTTGATGAAGTTTCTTTTTTCAGCTGACTCTTGTTGGTGATGTGGTGAATATTACAGCAGCAGGTTGATGTATGTTAGATCAAAAATTTTAAGGGCTGCATTCATTCTATTGCTGATCCAGCAGTTTGCCATATTGAGGTGTTGTTTTGTTTTTTGTCAGTCACTCTGCCTTGTTGTTGATCGGTGTCATACAAATAAACCTGTCCTGTCTTAAATCCCTCCCTTCACATTAAAAGTAAGCGTTGCTGCAATTCAATCCTGCAGCTTTCTGCAGAAACTGTGAACTGTATTATGGAGCTTTTCAATCGCCAGCCAGTGGGACCTTACATTTAGAGCAGACTCACCCTGGAGGCCGTCAGTGCCAAGAAATATAACGCTATGTCCAAGTCCAGTTCAATCTGGCACTTCATTAGCAGAGCTGAACGAGTGCTTGTGAGTAGTTGTGGTCATGACCCCTGATGTTGTGTTGATACACAATTATTAATGAGCGTTTTGAAGTGTGATGTTTGTCATATTAAAATTCTGGCACTTTGCCAATTTTCTAATAAAAATAGCATCTTAATTAGAGCTTCTAGATGGGACCAATGCTATGGACGGCACTTGAACATGATTTAGTTCAGTAAACCATCAGGGTGAATGATGACACATTTCATTTCATGTCAGATGACAGAAGTCTTGACATTTTAAAGATACATCTACATTCTCTGAACATTACACCACTCTGTATTATCACCTACAGTTTTTATGTATATATTTTAGGATTATCTTACTGATGTTTGCAGAGGGACAAATTTGTCATTACGTCTAACAGAGACGCTTAAAATGAAGAGATGATGACCTGTCTTGACTTAGAATTAGACTCACATTAGATTTAACGATCAGAAATTCAAAATCATTCTGCTAATTTAATTCATGTCATTCAGCTTGGCTTAAGATTTGTATTCAATGTAGTTCAGTTTCAGTTCAGCATATCCAGTGACAAGTGAATGCATCACCAAAGTCAATTATTCATTGTGAATGTCCTTAGTTTAGTGGTACGTTCAGTCTATTTTTCCATTCAGTCACACAAAAACCAGCCTAGACAAGCGCTGTGCATGAGGTTAGCAGCTCAGCAGTCTATTTTTCTACAACAGAGACTTTAAATTATTATTGTTTCTGTGGATTTCATTGTCTTTTAATAGGCTTTTTACAACAAAGCAACCGACTGTGCACTAATATTAGCACTCTGAGTAACTAGTGAGGAGCTCCACTGCTCAACCCTCTGATTCCTGCTGTTCTTCAGGTACTTGTACTACAGTAACTGTAGCTGTGTTGCTTTACAGGGATCAACTGATTCTCAGCTTTATGTTCAGCATTTCTGTAAATATCTTTATTTAGTTTAACCAATTCCATGTAAAATAAAATAATTTTAAAAATGTGCTACTTTGGCTCTAATACAGCTGCCACTCTCTACCTGATGTCGCTCCACAGTACAATCTGATTGGATACACATCACAAGGTAGAGCCTATCAACGCTGAAGGAGAAAGGTTTAAAATCTTTGCATTAATCAAGCAAATGTAAATCAGAAATTGACATTTCAATGAAATTTTGTATTAGAGTTTGTGATATTCTAAATTTTAACACCAAGATTTTAATTTTCACGTCATATAGCAGTTTCAAAAAAGAACTTGGATCTTCCTGAGTATATTAAGTGCACTTTAAAACTTTCACATTGAGAAAAACGTTAATTTCACAAAAATGTATAAAGGTTGCTTGCGGTGGGGTTTGACTTTTTCGAAAGAAGTGTTAATGAGCATAATGGGAGATGGGAACACCTTTTTTTGTTCTAACATACCAAACATGTTACTGACATGACTGATCAGCTGTTTCTGTTACTTTTGTTGTTTTCATCTCCAAACAGCATGAAGCACAGCAAAGAATTATTACAACTTACCCAACTAAAAACAGTTCCTGAAGATTTTTTTTTGCCATTTTTACTTCACAGATGAACAGAAGTTTGTTGGCGTTTTTCCTCTTGCGGTTGGCAAAATACTAGTTTTGTTTCTGGCTATTTCTACCCTAATTTACAGGTAATGTAGCCTCTGCTGCCACCTTCTCACGACACTGCAAAGCCTAGGTTATTCACTCCAAAACAGTTACTGGAAGCAACTTTAATTAATGTTCTCTTTTAGTTCTTTTAAAAATTATTTTTACATTCTTTGTGATATTTGAAAAGTATGCCTTAAATTGGCTTGGCAAATGTGAAATCAGGACTAATAATGGGAAACGTTAAAAAAAAAAAGTCCTTACTGGTTCAATGACCTCCACGTTCCTCACAGACTGGTCAGGAGCGACAGCTGGCCAGTCTGACAGCTCATGGTACCCAGTAGCTTTGATGTTGAGACTGTGGGACAGAGTGCCCAGTTGGAAACGGTCTCGATCTGAAAGTAGGGGGTGAAAAAATGAAACAAAAAGTTAGAAAGATGAGTCTGGTAAAAGTTGAGGGGACCTGATATGAAAGCAATGAACAATGAAATAGATAAAAAATAAAGAAAGTTTAATAAAAGCTGGAAAAACAAGGTGGGCTAGTCGTAACCCAAGTCTGTTCCTAATGAGGAAGCCAGTGGTTAAACGTCCATAATATATGATCTCGGCATCCTGTCCTCCATCATACACATTTATTTAATATCATCGCTTTGTGTTTGTGTGAACACATTCACTCTTCTCTCTCCCCAGTGGTCAACACAAGAAGATAATCAGCATCTGTGCCTTGGGAGGTAAGCTCTAAAAACAGTGCTTTGCTAACCAAAAAAAGAAAGAAAGAAAAAAAAAGACTTCACTTGTGAATATTAAGAATGACAGGGGTGGTTAACGCTTTCCATAAACATCCAGTAGGTGCAAACCGCCTTTGAATTTTAATGTTCCAGGAGGCAGTTTTGTCCCTTTTGTCAAGGAGGGAGAGAGAAAGAAAAGACAGCTAAATGAGGGAGATTTTTTTCTCCTCTCGGTGTCTGAAAAAGGTTAGCATTAGCTCAATAATTTACCCATCTCATTAGTGCAAAGTAAAGGGGTCTGACCTAACTGCCCTTCAGAGAGACAGACACACCAGAATAATAAAACCACAGTCTGAATCAACTTTGCATACTACTGGAAATAGAGCCACTAGATTTGAAATGGAGTTCCAGCTAATATGTATTCAGTGATTCTCTTAGATGACGTAAGAGATATGAGAGATTTAAGCTCAAACTTTAAAGCTATTTAGAGATTTTAATACATTTCAAAATAAGGATTAGAGGTTGGTATTAGAAATGTATGAGGTACCTTTGAATGCAGACTCAAGCACTGGAGCTGGTTTGGGGGCGAGTAAGATGCGCCGAGCATACTTGTTGAGGGCGCCGCTCTTTTCGCTGGGCACTATCAGCTGTCTTATGAAGCGTGTTCGGTCTCTGATGTCGTAGTTCTGGTCGTATTTTCCGAGATTCAGGATGTACTGGGTCAGCAGCTTGGTCTAACGGTGAACAGGTGATGGGATACAGCATATAAAGCAGCAATCAATTAAAGACAGTATTTGTGAGGACAGAAGGAAGATGTTTGTGGGACGAATTCAGTAGAGTAGGAGGTAACAGACTTAACATTTAGGGAGATACTTTTGTTTGATTTCTTGAAATAAATTACGGGGTGCAATCAAAAAGTTAATAATCAAAAGCCTGATTTAAATTTGGCAGCCATCCTCATTAAAGTCGACTCCATGTTCAGTGATTTAGCACTCCGAGCTCAGCTGTAACATGTAACACCGTTAGGTAAACGTGTTAAGTTTCGGTGTGTATGCTATGTTAACCAGCTGCAAATTTAACACACAGGCATAAAACAAACACAGTTCTCAAAATGTCAAACTATTCCTTTAAACTCAATAAAAAAAATCCATAAACTCCAGTTACAAACAGTTGAACAGAGCAAGGAGCAAATGCAATCGGCATAACGGCTGCCACTCATCTTCAGACAGTTCCTTCAGCCTCTTTTCTTCCTCTATCAGGTTTGGTCCTCATTTCAATCTGGACAAACACATTTTTTTCCTACCCAGCACAGTGAGAAAGAGCACTTCCACTAGCATAAATTATTTAGGCAGGCATAAAAACAAAAATCACTGCTGCCATGAAGGCAGCATTATCACCCTAATCCTTTACTGCACTGTCTTCATCTCCCCCCCTCTCTTCTTCCCTATCCTTCCCAACACATTACGAGGAGCAAGAGGTGTAATAATGTGCTCGTTTGAGACAGCAGTGTCTGGGCTCATAAACCCAGCTCAGAGGCCAATATCACCCCATCTAACTGAATGGGCCTGCAGACGCCAAGTTGCACTAAGAGATGCACCATTACATTCACAGCTCTATATTTAAACTGGGCATTTAGCTCCGAGTTGCACAAATGTTAAGTTACTCCAAGACAAAGCTGCGTCAAAGTGTGTGAAACAAAACAATGACTGAGTAATTTCAGATATCAGTGGCTATTATCTTGCGTCGCATTACATCAAATCTCAGAATTGTGATATCGGTATCTTACGCTACCTGCTTAGAGTTGGTCAGGTAGAGTTTGGCTGCCAGATTGACTGTCTGCAGCTTGACGATGTCCTCCTCTGCTGTGAAAGTCTTTGCCATCTTGCGGAGGACATCAGGTGCAATCTTTGGCACCCTCTCACAGTACTCTCCAATCAGCCACAGGATGCTGGCTCGGGCCATGGGAACCTGCGAGAAGAAGAGCTGCTACTGTCACATTGCTAGTTTACATTGCCTGTTCCTGTCTCTACTTTCACATTTATAAAGTACAGTAGACACAATGTGATGATAAATCGTACAGTGATGTTGTCGAAGAGCTTGGCCATGTGTTTGATGATCTCGCTGTGCTGGGTGGGCTGAGTTTGAAGCAACTTCTTGATGACCACCACGCTCTCAGCCACCACAGTCTCTGTAGAAACAAAACCAATCTTCAAAAAACGGACACAAACCAGGACATTTACAGTGCATCAGTGCAGAAGACAAGATGAGACTACAGACACAGGTGGGTGACAAACTCAAGGAAAAACCTGAACCCTTGACTCTTGGTCAGTGAGCATGTTCCTGTGGCTCTATTATGCTGCAAAGAGGCATTTTGCTGGAATGGTTTGGGTTCACTTGTTTAGGCAGGCTCACACTACACTTGCTTTAAAATCCAACAAATGTAGAAATGGAGCTGAATCACACGCATAAGAACATCACAGAAACTGTTCTCTCTAACCTCAGACATGCACACACTACAAAACTGGAAAATAATAGTTTGTCACGTACACTAGAGGATGTTACTAAGACTCTTGTGTCACAGGGAGTAGTCAGGAATCAGAGCACCACCCCAAAGGGGAAGCAGATGAGAGAAAAACTAAATGGAGACTGCAGTGCAACAATTTGCTGTAATGTTAATATTACTTTGCAGTGAACAGCAAACTAAAGCAGAAGGCTGAACGGGCTGACGTATTGGACCTTGCTCTCAACCTCCATCATCAAAAACACCAAATGAGGGAATATGTTTTGGTATAGCTCTAGTAGAGTTCCACAGACTTAGAGGATCAATGTCAAGGAGCATTAAAGTTGTTCAGAGAATCTCACAAAGACACGTTATACAGGTTTTTCCTTTAATTTGTCACCCGTCTCATCTGCTCTCAATTAAGCCATTTTACCGTCTCTGTTTGAAAGCAGCAGCACCAGACCGCTGAGACACGTGTCTGTCACCTCTGAGATGTTGGTAGCACACCTGCCGATGGCCTGAATGGTAGCTGCTGCAAATGCCTTGTCCTGACTCTTTACGTAGGTCTGAAAAAAAATTACGTTGGAGGAGGAAGTGTTAAAAGGTCACATCCAAGATCTCAAAGTCGGTACGACATCTTGACAACTATAATTGTAATGATAAAAATAAACTTAATTTTTACAACACCTATCAGAACTGGATTTGCAAGGTACAAAAAAAGTAAAATAAAGGATTTAACATTAGACAAGACAGCTAAACATTGAAAAAGGGCGACAATACAACATTAGAAAAGACATTACACTTTTTTACGCAAATGTCACTCTATGCTCGTCGGTTTTTAAAAGTTTAATCATATCATTGATCATATCGAAACAAAATACAAACCTGAAATTCCCTCAAAATAGTGGAGATGTTGGCTTCATTGGCCAGATTGGTCAGGATCTCCAACTGTAAAAATCACAAGTCAAGGTTTTTGATTATTTAAAATACCATCATAGAAGCAAAGGTCAACAAGGCTCTGGAAAATAATATTCAGAATATTGTTTTACATAACAACATGTAAATATGTGCCAAAACTGCAAAGACATGTAATTGTGGAGAAAATGTTGAAAAAAAATATAGCCATGTGTACATTTTTGAAAGCTGATACACAAAAGGTTTTGCCCTTTCTTTATTAGAACCAAAACTAATATGCATGTAACTTACACAGCTTTCATGCTCAGATGCTCACAAAATCAGTTCTCTTTGCCTGAATCCGCACCACTGCTAACTCGTTCACACATTGTACCACTGCTAATCCACACAACTTTTTTTCCTGAGGTTTACAAAGGATGATACAAGACCACAGGCTCTAATATTATTGGTGAATACCATTTCACAAGTTCAAAATCTTACTGGTCCTTATTTGAACCCATATTGTGATACAACTAGTACATGATGCACAGATGAACTGGTAGCTACCTTCAGCGTTTTGATGTGTGTAGCATCGGTGGATCTCACATAGAAACTCTTCATGAAGGGCTCGAACATCCCCTGTTTGGAGAAAACTCATGTTAATACACAGTTGGGCTGGAAAGTTACATTTAAAAAAGGCATTTTAAGACAATGCAGTTAGCAAATCATAAAGGCTGCAACTATATGTTAAGGTATACGTCTGACCCAGAGTTAAACTGTTGTGTCAGTAGTTTCACAAAGCTTTTGACTGTATCTCATGTGCTAACAGTCCATCATGTTTTTTATTATTACACTGAGTATATTGAACTGAAGCTTGTCTGCCATCATTGTACTTGTGGACAGGGCTTACGGCGCTCTGCTACCTGAACCTGTAAGCAATCTAAACCATATGCCATTGCCACACAGTCAAATGATATCCCAGTAGTCACACCAGAATCCTGTCTACTTTAAAAGTTTGCTCCATCTGTTGGTCCAAGATAACAATACTATTATCTGTTTTCAAAGCGGCTCCCTTAGATTTTACTATGTAGGACTGTACTAGCAGTGTATTATTTAATCAGTAGTCTATGTGAGTTCATTGCTTTCCATCTTGTGTTAGTCCAAAGTTTGAGCTTAAACTTGAGAGAGAGAGACTAAATATTCATTGTCTTTAAAACGATGTGTTATTATGAGGAGTAGAATCCCAGGTCTCCACCGATATTGCTGCTGAAAGAGGTTTTATCAACATCATTACTGTTCTACTGTCCACAAGCGGACTTACCTTCCTCTGAATGGACATAGTGGCGATGTTCTGAAGCACAATGTACTGCACCTCTCTGTGCAAAAGATCAAGAAAACATGTTTAGAACACAGACACAGACATACTGTAAAGTACTTACAGTGTCAAAACAACAGCGAGTCATTCATTATATCCAACTGAGCAGGAATCAAAATACTATATTTTTTTACCTGTGGCTTCTCAGTAGTCGAACCAGTGACTTGGTGACAATACTGACTTCATGCTTAGGAGCCAGATGCCAGTAAAGCTGAGCAACAGACATCACCACCTAAAGGTGTATTAAGACACAGAGACAAGAAATAAATTCAAATATCTTGCTGCATCTTCTTAAAGAGCCCATGTTATGCACATTTCAAGATTCTTAATTGTATTTCTGGGGTCTACTAGAACATGTTTACATGCTTTGACCCTCTGAACCCACCAACGGGTTTGAAAGCCATGTTGTTATTTTTTTCAGTCGCCAACATGACACCATTGATCAGGGCAAGAAAATGTAAGAACAAAAGAGCTGCTGGACATTACACTTTTAATTGGTTATTAAACTAATAATATGTGACTTTCGGCTCAATCTGGAAAATTAACCATATCTACATGTCTTTTTTTTTTTTTTTTTTAATTCCAAAAATAAACAGATTGCACTAAAAGGATTCAATAAAAATAAATTTAAAAAATCATTTTGGACTCCTCATCACAAACAAGACACCAGGATTGATGTAGCTGTGACCAAAAGTCAAAAATTCAAGGACCTTTTTCTGCTGAACTGAACTGTGTCTACATGGAGCAGGCAAGAGACAAGGATGGAAACAAATTTAAAATGTAAGAAGCTAAGTGTGTATGATATAGAGAGACACCATTAATTTCCAGTGTTGGTAATGGCATCATAATTGTGTCATACAGCACAAAAGACATGCGAGTTCTCTCTCCTTCTAGTCGTGGTTGTGCCGTTCCCATACATTTAAAAGACTTTATATTGCAGGGAAACATGAACCCACTGTGAGTAAAAACGTGACGTTCAAACTACTGACCACAATACACTAATGTTTTACTAATTCTACATGTTACTTTCCTTGATTCAACATTTTCAAAAACACTTTGTACCTTTGAAGTGCTCCATTATTTTTACACCAACTCCATCTGTCTACTCGTGCTAAAATAAAATGCCTTCCCTCCTACAAAGGCACTGATGACATGACTCTATAAAGGTAATTTTTCAGTGGAGCTCTAAATAGCAGGCGGACGTGTGTCCATCGTTGCAGGCAGAATGAAAGGGTTCAGGCATCTATGAAGATGGAGGATGTCACTGTGTTGTCGCGAGTAAAGACACAGCATGTCACATTTTAATCAACACTTTCATTTGGGAGCATTTTTCCTCCCGCTGCCACACAGCGACAGAGACCTTGAGACTCCTGGATGATGGAGATCTGTACTCACTCTGTTTTTTATCTCGTTTTTTCAGTCTTGAGGGGTGTACTATGGCAGGTATTCCTGTGTCTATATGTTGTGAGTACCAGTGTGCATGTTGTATTTATGTAACAAAGTGTATCCTTGGATGCATTATAACCAGGAGGCACATGTGTATGTGTATAAAGGGCTGCAGCAGCATTAGCAGATGCGTAGTTTTAATTTGTGAGACAGTAACTTTATCAGTGGTTGTATTTCTCAACAGGTTGAAAACACAAACACGACACTTTCCCACACATTACATGAACATGAACAGCTGTACATGTCTGCGTTTATGAACTCACAGCAGTGTTCCTGCTCTGCAGCAGAGGCTTGGTGTTCCTGAGCAGCAGTCTGTGATCTGGATCCATGATGTAAGGCTTCTCCTCCATCTGGCCTTTTTTCTCCTCCGAGTCGGAGTCATAAAATGCTTTTTCGTTATTCTCATCGAACATGGCACCCTGAAACACAAACACAGGACAACACTTACTATTCTGCAAGCGTACTCCTCTAACACGCTCATGACGTATCAGAATGTGGTGTTGTTGTGACCTAAAAATGCCCAAACTTTACTTTTGTTGGTATTTACATTTTCACCTGAGGTAATATTATTTGCCCCTCTGGTTTGACTTAATAAAGTGAGACACAGCGTTGTGGGATGCTGTTTGTTGTATATAGTGTTTTAGTTATGTGAAAAAATGTACATTTCAGGAAAAGTATTTTTTTAAGTGCCTCAAGATAATAATTACTCTGCTAATTCCTTGTATAAAGCAATTGTACAGTGGCCCATAAATCAGTTTTGTACAGAAACCCCAACTGTGGCAGGCTAAAATGCATTAAAATGATTTAACAACAAGAAAATGTGAAATGTAAAAAAAATAGATTAAAAATAGATATATAGAAATGATACTAGATAATAAACAAATAAAAAAAATACCACAAAAAATCTTAAAATACCACCACACTTCAAATACTTTCCGGCATCAAATAGATGCTCTTATAAAAACTAAAAGAACTATTGGTTGACTTAAAAGCAAAATAACTGGTGGGTTCTTATGATTAGCGTCAACAAATCAGTATCCATCTAATGTGAAATATGACCACAACTTCTGGTTCACTTCCTGAGTCATGGCAATGAATAACAGCAAAAGAAAGTGTTGAATCAGAACACTATGATGTCACTGTGTAGTTCAACTTTGACTTTTTGGACAAAAAAGACCATCACTTCATTCACTTCATTTTATCCTCTGAGACAATTCTGTAAAATGCTGTCAAAATTAGAACATGAATTCTAATTCTAAATCTAATTCTAAAAACGTGTTTTGTGAGGTCGTAGTGATCGTTGGCAACTAAAATCAACCCACTGCTGACAACTATTTTGATTTTCAGTTTGAGTTTTTTTTTTTTCAGGAAATGCTACCAGTGTGTCTCTGGACAGCCTGCTACAACCAAAATGTTGACAAAATACTTGAGAACAGAAAGATGGTTTAGGAGAAGAGTTAAGGAAGCCATCTCTGTTAAACTAGAACAGCAGTTTCTACACAGAGGAGTTGGTCTACGATTTCACTTACCATGCACTTATTATGCAGTTCTGAGATCCCTACCCAGACAGATTTACCACCAGTAACACCTTAAATCATGTGCCTTGGGTTGTTACCAAGACATCTGCCATGTGATTTGGAGATGAGAATAAATAGCTGGGACTCCCTATTAGTTAAAATCCAGGTGGCTTCTTTTATAAGATGTGAAACACCTTCAAGAATAAAGAAAGACGAGCCTTCTCCTGAAGCACCTCAGAGTACCGTGACTTAGAGGACTGTGAATTTCCACAGACACTTGAGAATCGTATATTTGTGAATTGACACTTGACACACTGACTCTCCACTGGTTTTAGTTCCTAGGAAAAGGGAGTGCCTGACCTCCTTCCAGGGGCTGGTGAACTGCGTCCTGGCGTATCGTGTCAGCATGGAGATGATGACCACCTGGCCCCACTCCTCCACATCCACCAGCAGGTTACACAGCTTCCTGTAGTTCTTGTGGATCAGATCGATGCGATCTGGGCACACCTCCTCGAAGGCCATCACCACACTGCCGGCCACCAGCTGCAGGGAAGATTTAGGAGAAGGTGAGGAAAGGAGGTGCACCAACTCATGAGGAAAATGCTTCTTTATTTACTTCCCTCCAACATTGTCATACGAGTTAATGGAGGTTGTGAAGATTTGTAGGAGTTTGTTAGACAAACTGAACAAATACTTCTTAAACAAGCTGTAATATACAGACTCTGGAGAAATATAAAACTGGTTAATAGATTTGACCCTGGCTACAAAGTATTATAATTGCATTTTCAAGAAACACAATGCCAATTTACAACTCTGATTACAATACACACAGTTCAGCCTCTAAGTAGTTAGTTGACAATTAAAAGGAAAATGTTTGCACTTAAAATAAGTTTTATACAACCCCAATGTGACAAAAATCAATCAGTAGCAGTGCTTTTCTCAAGTATATATTCACAGGGAAAGCAGGCTGAGGAGGAAGCAGCAGCTGAGAGAGCCAATAATGAACTATGTTTTATTGGTGGAAGGAAAAAACCCATTTGGCTGTTGCATGCCCCCCCACCACCACCCAACTGCCTGCTGCCTCGCTGACTGACTGTGAGACTGAGTGAGTGACACGGCCGTGTATTAATATGCAAACAGCATTATCACAGGCAGGCGAAGGTGAAGAAGAAGAGAAAGGGAGCAGAATCTGGTCTTCCCAATTAAAGCCTTCTGGCCCCTGGTGGCCCTGTGGGAACCCGGTGCATTTACCCATCAGCACTGCCATGAGCCTGCATTGATTGTGTGTGTATATGAGCTGTGGATGTGCACAGCTGCTGTCTGTAGATTCTCTGTGAAGTCTGTACCTTAAATCCGTGAGATGATTAGCTTTTCTGGCACTCACACGCTAATACAGATGGATGAACCACTACAGGATCAAATAACTACATTTTATGGTATTACAGTGATCTATGAAGTTATATCTAGTGGGAGACACACAGACGTTTCATGTGTACTTAAGCAATGACATTTAGATCAAGTAATTACATGATAAAGATACCTCAGTGGCAACACTCTTTGAAAATCCATGTTATCGCAGCTATTTGTCTACTGACACAGCAAGCTAATATTAATAATGATAACAAGTATTTGCATGTTTTGTTTTTTTTTATCACCAATAGCATCTGAATGGAGATTTGGAATGATGCACACTGACATGTCTACACCAGAAGAATTTCTCTGACAACAAATATCACACTGCTCTAAAACTGTAAATAGTGTTTCTTATTTATTTGTCATTTTATTTTGTGAATACTATCCAGATAAATAATGTTTAAAGGCAAATAACAGTGTAATCTGTGGACAT